TCTTTACTGTCTTTTTAATGACCTCTTGCTTTTTTTCATGTGTAATGTCCTTGATGTCATTCCCCTATTCGTCTGGTCTTTGGTCATTAGTGTTCAATGCGTCAAATCTTTTCTTGAGATTATCTCTAAATTCAGGTGGGATATGCTCGAGGTTGTACTTTGGCTCTCGTGGACTTGTTCTAATTTTCTTCAGTTTCAACTTGAACTTTCATACGAGCAGTTGATGGTCTGTTCCACAGTCAGCCCCTGGCCTTGTTCTGACTGACGACATTGAGGTTTTCCATGGTCTCTTTCCACACACGTAGTTGATTTGATTCCTGTGTATTCTATCTGGTGAGTTCCTCGTGTATAGTTGCCTTTTATGTTGCAAATACCTTTTTTTCATATAACTTTACTCTCATTAAAAAAAGGAATTTTTTTAATGAATGTATTTTCTAGATAAGTAAATCATAATTCTTTATTTTAGTTATTCTTAAAATTTTATAAATTATATTTTATATTTTCTAGTTTTATAATATTGACTTATATTCTTAGTATGAGAAATGATATTTTCTGTTTAACTTGAGCAGTTTTTATTAACAAATCAGTGGTTCCTTTGACCTTCTGAGAGGTGCTTCTACTGTAAATACCCTTGATTGCTCTACTGTTTTAACTGGTTCTTCTTATCCTTTTCCTTGCCTTGCTTGACAGTCTTTGAATGCATGAATAAAAAACACTTCTAGATAGTTATGTTTCTAATTTACTGAAGTGTTCTGCAAATAGTACTAGTAGAACATTTTGTTTTTTTACAAAGTGTAAGAACCTATAAACCGGCTGCTGTCAAGTTGATTCTGACTCATGGCAATCGCATATGTACGAAGCAGAACTGCACTTCATAGGGTTTTCATCGCTGTGACCTTTTGGAAGCAGATCACCAGGCCTTTCTTCTAATGTGCCTCTGGATGGGTTCAAACTGCTGATCTTTTGGTTAGTAGCCGAGTACTTGACAATTTACGCTACCCAGGTGCTCCTAAGAACCTATGTGCTTAAATAATTCATTTATTTTCTCTACCTTCCCCCATTTTAGAAAGAAAACACTTAAAAGGAAGAATTGAAGGGAAATGGCTCTCTCTCTTTCCTCCACTGCTCTTATTTTCATGCTTTAATATTACACCAACCACATAGATGATCCACCGAACATCCTCGCTTCTCAGTTCCTTTACTTTTGTAGCTCCAGTTATCTTTTTCTCTACCCTACCTCAGCCGTCTACCATGTGGGCATTTGCTAGTGTATTACGTTTGAAATCTTAATTTCAGCCATCACACTCTTCCTGCATTTCATCCTTCAGTTCACATCAGCAATTCTCTCATCTCATTGAAACCTCCAAACTATTGATCTTACCACATTTTCACTGTCCTTTACTGACTATGTCCTCTCTTATCCCAGTGTAGATTCCATGGTCTAATAGTATAAATTTTTCTTGCAAATACTTTTCTGCAAGTTTTTAAAAATTTAGATAAAGATATTTATTATTCATGCACGTAGTGTGAAGAATCAATTAGTACTGTATGTTTTCAGATTTTCACTCTAGAATGTAGTCCGCCCCCTTTTCCTTCCCCCGCCCCACCTCCCTGGTTTCAGCCCCTGGAAGTTTTTGGAATGTGGAAGGAACGTTGTTGACTGACTGACACAGTTCACAAGGCCCTTTCAAACAAAGCATTAAAAAAGCATTTTAAGTGTTTCTTGTACTTTGTATATGTTTATTGTTCTCTTTCTCCATTAAGGAATAGAGAAAAAACAATTTTGACTAGGGGATCTTATAATTTGGTTTAAGCAGCATTTCAAAGTACTCCAAATTCCTAGGACTTTAAACCTACCCCTACCATATTCATATATGAGTAGAAAAAAACATATTCAGGGTAAATTTTATGAGTTTGGGATAATCCTTTTCTCTGTATCTCATACAAATAAGAGTTGACCATTAGCCTTTTATAAATATCATGTGCCATTATGTCATAAAGGTTTACATCATCAACCATTTGAATGTAAAATGTTCTGTTATTATGTAACAGAGAGTTTGCTTTATGAATGTATGTAATAAGTTTGTGAACAGATCAGCAAACATGGCTTCAAGCTTTTAACTGATTTCCCTCCCTACAATATCTTAACGGGAGGTAATATTTTTACTTTACTTTTGCCTGTTGATGTATTTTTTTATATACATATAAATGGAAAGTAATGGTGATAATTTCTATTTTCACAAGTTAGATTATAGCATTTCAAATAAAAGGAAGTATAAATTCTACCTCAATAAGTTGTTGCTCTGCATAATTTACTTTTTGAAGAGGAATCATATAGTCTTTAGCATTTCAGTATCCATTGGGCAGAGCATTTTATTTGTCATTATACACATTAAAAGGAAACCCTGGTGGCATAGTGGTTAAGAGCTGTGGCTGCTAACCAAGAGGTGGGCATTTTGAATCCACCAGCAGCTCATTGGAAACCCTATGGGGCAGTTCTACTCTGTCCTATAGGGTCGCTATGAGTTGGAATCGACTCGATGGCAATGGGTTTGGTTTTTTGGTTTACATGTTAAAATTCTCAGAAGCTTCACATAAGTAGAAATGTGTTCAAGGTCTAAATAATAAAGGAGAAAAAAACTGGATAGGGAACTTAATCAGTAATTATTTTATAGGCAAACACAACTCTTAAATTTTATATTATTTGCATTTATCTGGCACTTCCTATCTTTGGTAGTATAAATTTTCTCAATCTATCTTTCCTGAGAGTTCCTGTGCTTAGACCACCTAATTACTTCACTTTGTATTTTAAGTGAATGACTGACTGACTTTCAGCCCTAAGGAAGTAAGGGTTCCCCATGTCCCATGAAATCAGGAAAATTTAGCAGGGGAGAGCCAAAGGAGAAAGGGTAATGTGAGAGTGGACATCTGAGCTACTGTGAAACTTCTGTCTTTTGTTCTGGCCTCCTGGGAAAGAGGGCTTCTATGGACTGGAGATGAGTCATGTAAGACTAGCTTGGATCAACTAGGTATGCTGAGATTTACAAGCAACAAAGTCATCATGCAAATGATTTTCATTGGATGCTTTTAGTACAACTTTTGGTAAAATTTCAGAGAAGTAGATTCCTCCTGTCCCTTCTTTCTTGCCCCATCTTCAGGATTCAGCGCTCTCCATATAGGCTCTTAGGCTGGCCTCTCCCAAGTGATTTTTGTGCTAAACTTCCTTTCTCTTTCAAATTTGATTTGCTGAGGCTGTCTCTGGTAATTGACACTAAGGTATGAAAGAGAGTCCTTAAAATCCCTCAGAAAGAATCTTTTTAAGGGTTGTTTAACCCCCAAATAATCAGAAATGTGTTTTGGCTAGGTGCCTTTTTAAACCATCTTCCACCTAATTCAGACCTCTCTTAGTATGATCTGTGGAATCATAGTATCAGTATTAACCATTATATAGCTACATGTCTATGTATGTCACTGAGCTGTTCCTCTTTGCTCAGGTTTTGCTAAAAAAACTGAGAGGAGCAGAGGGGAGACTAAGATGATAGCACACTGAAAATGAGTAATTCGAAGGAGGAAAGACTCTCCTACACCAGTTTATTACCTCTGATCTTCAAAAAGCTTTTGTGTATTTAGTTTGAGATTCAGTGATATAAGCCCAGAGTATAGAAACTATGTTTGCTTTGCTTTATAATACACTCTATGTTTCTGTACTTTAACAGGGCAGCCCTGTACTGTATCGAAATGTTAATTCATTAAGAGAGCAAATATCTGCCTTCCAGACAGCTTTTTACTCCATAAAGGAAAATGAGAAAATGGCTGACTGTCCTGAATTCTCAAAGGCAGAGAGAGAGTTCGAGACCACAGACTTCAGTGAGTAGAAAGAATTCAGTCAATTTTGACTTCAGTATTTATGTAGACAAACTCATAAGATATAAAAGAGATTTAGTTCCACAATGTCAGATTGTGAGGTTGCAGAGCAGAGCTTGCAAATTAGTTCTGCAATTTAATTTTAAATGGAGCCTAATATTTAAAACTTCGGATGTTTCACACAAAAATATGGATTTCTGGTTTCTCTTGGGGAAAAAAAACTGGTGTCTGGCATTCCCATGTGGTCACAATTAAGGTTCGAATTTTCAAATGTCAGAGCTGATTACCTTATTTCACATTTAGAATAGGGCATGTGGCAAATTTAAATTTACAACCCTTGATTTTTAGAAGATTATTTTTACATTGTCAAGCATTTATATGAAAACCAAATACCCAACCCTGATATTATAAATCATATATCCAATCTGCTTTTTAATCCTGTGCCACATTTTTTTATAACCCTTAGATTGTAACTTTTTAAAAAATTTATAGCCACTTTTGACATTTGAATCACAAAGCATTTTAAACATTAGAATTAAACAAAATCTTGGTATTGCTGTAATCATCATAACCATTCTTCTGGTTCTTTACACTCTAAAGATTCCAAAGAGACGATGTAAGATTCCAAATGATTTTGTTTTGACTTCTTGACTCCATCTTCAAATATACTTTTCAAACCTGCATGTATGCAGTGCATTGTTAGTCAAGACAAATCAGATTCACCACCTCTAGAGGACATTACCCATTCAGATGTACTCGTTTATATTTGTAGTTAGTAATGTACCTGTTTTTCACTTTTTACGTGGATTTTAAAGTATTTTATTGACATCGTTGTAATTCTGTAGAGAATTAATTTCTGTTTTTATATAGGAAGAACTAAGGCACATTCAAAGTCATACACAAAGCAGAACGAGTATGAGAGCATAACCACATCCTTTAAAATGTTTAAAATAGAAGAGTTCAATATAAATTTAAAAATACAAAGATAAATACAAGAAGTGCAAATGTATTTTAGTATATTTTGCACTTTTAAGGTCTGAAAAACTTAATTCTAATATTTACATTTAAGTAATTCACGTTGTCTTGGTTTTCAGTGAGATTTTATTTTTGAATACAGAAATTACTAGATTTTTCTTTTCATTTATAAAGTGTTTAGATGCAAGCCTAAATTTTACTGAAATTATGATGTACAAAATTTCAAAGTGATATTGTAAAATAAAACATTTATGCCCGTACTGTTTTGTTTTGTGTATGTAGTCAAAAAAGAAGGTGTTAGCGAGTGGCAGCGGTCTGGATTCTCTGCGAAGTTACCGTCCAAACGTCGGAGAATAGCCTATCAGAGCGACTTCAATGGAGATCTGACTGATGCTGAAAAAAAAGGAATCAATCTCCAGTTACTCAATACTGATACTCCTGGTACAGACAGAACATGCGCTGTTGAAACCTCACCTGCAAATCTTTCTGAGGTAATTCACTTAAAACAGAGGAAAATGGAGCTTTGGTTTTTTTGCTTTGGCAGCTTTAAGATTGCCGAGGCCCCTTTTCAATTATAGTACATTGTACTGCCATACTGTATATAGGTGGTTTAAGTTACATACATGTTGGTGTGTAGTTTTCCTATATAGAAATGTTGTTGGTTGGTTTATTGGTTATTAGACACAGTTTTTATGTGTTATTAAAATATTAAGCTTTTGTGGTGTTTTGTATGCTAGGTTTGTTGTAGATGCTGATGGTACAACAGTAAATAAGTCACAGTTTTGCTGTTGAAGAGCTTTTCGTCTATTGGGGAGGCAGACATACAAGCACAATATTTAAACATAATTGGTAAATAAGGAGACAATATATGGCATGCACTTCTCAGATCTGGGGATCTTGCCTCATAACCGCTTTAATACTGGCTAGGAAGCAGGGTGCCATTTAGCAGTTCCTCCTTTGCTCGCTTACTTCTTTCGAGTGGCTTTAGGGATTTTTTTTTGCTTAGAACTGCCTAAAACCTGTCAGGTTATCAAAGATGATAACCAATATGAATTGAATTTTACAAAGTTTGGAGGAGACTAATATATTTTGGAGATCCTGGGCCTTCACTAAAATATAAATGGGGAGCTAGTTCTCCATGACTGACTTTTCCTGCTTCATTCTCTTGGTTCTGGTTTAATAGAATAGCTTCCCATTTCTCCAGTAGTGAGAGAAGGCACATAATGCTATTAAAAGTTGGAACTTCTTTTCCTGTACTTTCTGTGTTACAAAGATCCAACATGTCTTATTGACTTTATCTGGGCTGGCATAATAAATGTTTCATAATCATTAAAGATTCTTTGGAGTCGGTTAGATTTCATTTGTATCTCAGTGGCCTATAATCTGCTCTCTCTGCTTTATTCAGGATAGTATAAAATCATCATCTAATGGAAGCAATAGTAATTGTTTCTTATTGGTACTTTGATTAATTTTTTGGATATAGGCCGTGATTTAGAACTGATTTCCAAATATTAATGTTTCCTATGCTGGCCATTAATTTTTTTCCTATCCTTGCTATTGACATCTTTTGCTGTTTGGTTGGTAATTATATACCACTTTTCTTTATTTTGATGATTTCATCTTTACAGAGTAACAGTTAACACTGTTTTTTAGTAGAAAGACTTGAAGTAGTAAGGCAACAAAAAATGTGTCTTTTAAACTTTAACTGAGGGGCTGAGAATTGTTTTGTGTAGAATGTTTGGGATGCAATTATAATAAATACTCTTGTTAGACTTCTGCATACTTTTATAATGGTTAGCTAGGTAATGAAAGTGATTGACTGATTTAACATCAGATTTTTTTTTCCCCCCAGATAATTGGTGATCCTTACACAAATCTTTTAAATGTATCAATAATACTATAAATAATAAAATTTAAAACAATTTACTCTTTAATTTTTTTCTCCAAGAAATCTTCTGGACCTGGTTTAACACAGTCTGGGTGGTTAGTTGAAGAGTCTATTCTACTTTCAGATCTCGCAGAGACTTCAAGTGGTAAGTAGTACATGTCCCAGTTCACCCATCAAAACATTCATTCAGTAGATATTTATGGTTGGTGTACCTATATGCTGTGATTTGGGAAAACTAAAATGAGTAACACTGTTTCCTACTTTTTAGGAGCTCATGCTATAGTAGAAATATTTTAAAATTCTTATGTGAGATATAATATTTTTGTTTTTAAATTGCTGTCTTAAGATTTAGTAAAATATTTTCAAGTTAATAGAATCTCTTATAAAGAATAGGATCTATGAACATATTAACAGGTGTATTTTGTTAGAGAAACACTACCCATAATTTTTTGTTTGTTTTCTGGTTTGTAAGTTTGTGAAGAGAGTTCTCAGGGCCTGAGAAAATGAAAGATGTCAGAAGCAAATGTTCTGGTCCTCTCACCACAAAACCCTCCTGCATCTCTGGAAGTGTATTCTCTACCTTTCTTCCTATTGCAGTAGATTCTCAGTGTTCTTATCTAAGAGCAGCCCTTCATTATGGGCTAGTTCCCATCACCTCCTTCCTTTTCAGTTGTCTCCTCACTTTTCTAAATTGTTAACTTTTCCTATTTACATGCTATAATATGCTGTATTATCTACCATCTTAAACTTTCCCTTGACTAAGGGTTTCCTTCCAGCTATAACTCCCATTTCTTTGCTCTCCTCTAAAGCAAAACTCCATTTAAGAGCAGGCTGTACGCTGTCTCCTTGCCTCCTATTCTTTGTTGAACCAGCTCCAAACAGGCCTTGGTAACCAGCACCTCCTCATTGCCATCGCAGTAGTTAGTCTCAGTATATTCCTCTTCTTGATGTCTCAGCAGCCTTATAGACAGAGTTGACTGTGCCCTCGTATTAGAAACATTTTCTTCACTAGGCTTTGGGACATCATTCTCTCCTGTTTTCCCCTATATCACTGACCACTTCTTTGTGTATTTTCCTTGTTCCTTTTCTATCCTGACCTTTAAACATTTAAATGTCCCTGGGTTTGGTGCTTGGACCTTTTTTCTCTCTACATTCATTCCCTAAGTGATTCCGGCGCATTCTTATAACAATTTAGATGCTGTTGACTTCAAAATCGAAGTATCTGTCTTCTGCCTCTTTGCTGAACTCTAGACTTAAATACCCAGCTGCTTTCTTGATCTTCACTTGGATGTTTAATGAACATCTCAAACTTAATGTACTCAAACAGATCTTGGTTTATTTTTCCTTCCCCAACCTGCCCATCACTGTTTTCTTCATCTTAGTAAATGGCACCTCATCGCTTGTGCCAAAAACACTTGGAGTTACCTCGAATCCTCTCCCTTTCAAATTAAACTTCCAATCCCATTAACAAATGCTGCTGGCTCTACCTTCAAAACATATCAAATATCTAACCAGTCCTCACTTCCTACGCTGTTTTCAGTATGGTCCAGGCTTCTGTCATCTCTTGGCCTGGATTGATTTGCGTATCCTCTTCACTGATTTCCCTGCTTCTACCCTTGCCCCACTCCCCTTATAGTCTTCTACATGGTAGCCAGAATGCTGCTTTTAAAATGTAATCCACACTGTGTCACTTCACTTCTCAAAATCCTTCATTGGCTTCCCATCATACTTAGAATAATATCGAGAGTCCATACCATTTCTTCTAGGCCTTACATGATCTAGTCCTTAGCCATCTCCGAGCTTATTTCTTACCTCTCTTCTCCTTGCTGACTCTGTTCCAACCACACTGGCCTTATACCTCTAATATGCCAGGTACCTTCCTGTCTCAGGTCTTTGTACTTGGCTTCTTTCTGCATGTACTGCTCTGCCCTAGATCTGTACAAGTCTTCCTTCACTTCATTCAGATGTTTTCTCAGGAAACTGTCCCTGGCCACCTTATACACTGTGCCCTTATTGCTGTATTATTTTCCTTAATAACAGTGATTACGACTTGCTATATATGTGTGTGTTTGTATGTATATGCATATATATGCTTATATAAGCCCTGGTGGCACAGTGGTTAAGAGTTCAGCTGCTAATCAAAAGATTGGCAGTTTGAATCCACCAGCTGCTCCTTGGAACCCCAATAGGGCAGTTCTACTCTGTCCTATAGGGTTGCTATGAATTGGAATCGACTCAACGGCAACTGGTTTTTTTTTTTTTTTTATGTATTATTTAACTTTTTATTTTGAAGTAATTGTAGATTCCCATGTAGTTGTAAGAAATAATATAGAGAGATCCAGTCAATATAACGTTTACCCAATTTCCTCCGCAGTAGTAACATAGCTACAATATAATATCACAACCAGAAAATTGACATTGATTCAATCCACTGATTTTTTTTTTCCAGATTTCACCATTTTTTACTTACATTAGTTTGTGTATTTAATTCCGTGCAATTTTATCACATATGTAGATTCAGGTTATCACACCATAGTTGAGATATAGAACATTTCCATCAGAAGGACCCCTTGTGCTACTCTTTTATAGCCACAGCTACATCCCTCCTTCTCCACCCTTTCTGTTATTATATTTTATGTTGTCTGTTTGGTGGAGAAAGATGAGGGGCTTTGTATGTTTTGTTCATCATTGAATCTCCAGCGCTTAGAAGGGTGCCTGTCACATAATAAGTGCCAGATACACACTTGTTAAATGAATCACTGTTTCAAAAGACCGTGCTCCCATGTGGGAAAACCTTGTCTTGTATTTGGGCACGTAGAGTATGTTAATTTTTTGGTTTGATATTCTTTCTTGTCACTGTCCCCTCTTCTCTCGCCCCTTCTCACCAGTGCATGCTGAAATGTCTCTGACTCCAGCAATAAAATTGGTCATTATTCAGTGCTTAGCTCAGGTTAGTTTCATGGTATAAGTAATAAGTTTCATTTGAATAGGGGCAGACTAACAGTTTGTAGCTGACTCCTGGATGTCTTCTTGTAATCTCTGACCCAGATTTCCATGGGAGCCCAAAATCCCTTACTTAACGTTTACTCTGAGTAGTCAGAATTGAATTAAAAAATGTGACCAGTGTCACTTCTCTATCTTCTTTTTGTATTTCCAAATGAAATCCTAGGTGGTACTCTCTAAGCAGGATGTATTATGGTTGAATTTCTTAATAGCATGTTGTTATCATTGCAAATACATAATGTTTTAATTTAGAACAGACTGATTTGAAAATCTTTCACCTCTCATGAGTACATGTTTATTTTGAAGGGATCAAGGTTGCTGACTGTGTAGAGGGCAAAGGATCAAGCGATGCTGTTTCACAGAAAAATCGGTTGGAGGACAAACTGACAGAAGCAGCGGGCATAGGCACAGTTCCTGACATCAGGTCGCCGGTAACTTCAGTGAGCAAGAAGGACATTGCTCCCCCTGAGACCTTTGTACTTCGTTCTGTTCTGAAAAAACCCTCAGTTAAGCTGTTTCCAGAAAGCTTACAGGTAGGTATAGAGCTACATTTCCTAAAGCAAATTGAATGAAAATCCGTTTTGCTTCAGAGCAATGCTTCTGAAATGTTATACAATATGTCATACTGATGTAAAAGTAAATGTCTCATCCTCATTTTTTTCTCCCCCTTTTCTCATTTATAAGGCTGAGTTTGTTTCCTTTTTGTTCTTTTCTAACTCAGTATGCTATGGAGTATGCAATATAGTTTATAAAGGGCTTATAATTATTAATATCTTGATCTGTTATCTATTTCCACCCAGAATATTTAGTCTTAGAAATACCTTTTTTCAGACACGCTTCTTTCTCTAAGCTCAATATGACGAAAGGGAAAGTTGATGGAACTAGCTGGCATTTGTTGAGGGCTTTCTATTTGATAGTTCTGGCGTATATTGTGTACATTAGCTCATTTATTCCTAGCAGTGGTCCTCCAAGAAAGTTATTAACCTCATTGTATATAAACTTAGGCTTGTAGGTTGTTAAATGTATCCAGATAGGTCTGATATTAAAATCCATGACAGACTAAAATGCATGAGAGGTTAAGAGTATGAATTCTGGAGTCAAAGTGTCCCTGCTTTCACATTCTGACTCCGAAATTTAGTAGCTGGACAAATTATTTAACCCTTTTGTGCCCCAGCTTCCTTATCCATAAAAGGATAAAGGATAATATTAGTAACAACGTTATAGGGTAATTTGAACAAATGGGAAAACATAAAACTAGCACCAGTGCCTGCCTTACCAAAAGTATAATTTCTTTCTTAAATCTCTAAACATTTTCACATATAACTATTCCTACAAATTTGTTTCAAAAGCGATTATCGTCCATCTACATGGGTAATGAATGTTAGTTGTTATTTTAAATGAGTTAGCTATTTTTCTGATTAAAGAGCTGATTCGGATCTCTAAAACATACAGCACTATTCATTCATAATCTTGTTATGTCCTCACCTCAAAGAGATCATCTTAATGATCCATGTAACTCTTATTGGTTAACAGTATTCCATAGCAAACACCACATAGCAAACATCAAGTCCTGCCACTAGAATCAGTTCACAACCGGTGTCTTTTTACTGAGCTAGCCAAAATTTGTAGGCGTACAAAATTTTAGTTATTTGCCAACTTTCATGGCTGTTTTAATTAAAAATAAAACATGAACTTTGTTTTATAAGCTAGCTTATCTCACAAATACTGGTATGTGCATTTTCCTGGACAAGAAAGTGAACTGACTTGGGAGATACATGACTAAGGAGATTTGTTTGGAGCAAGACTGTTTCTTAGAGAAGGTGCTGTTCTTGCAATGGGTGTGATGGAGAAAATGAATCAAGGGCAAGGTTGGTCAGGGGTTTAGGTTGAGGCTGGACAAGTAGGTGATAGTAAAGAAGTGACTCTGATCCAGCCCACAGCTCTGCTCTCTCCTGCTGTGCTCCAAAGGCCAGGTGTTTGGGCTTGTCCTGACTTTTTCCACAGGATTTACACTCTCTCTTTCTTAGTAATGTGCCAATTCTGTAACTTCCCATTGGAGAAGCACAGAGCGACAAATGCTACCTTCTTTCCTTGTTCCTTCCTGAAGAATATAGGAATGCAACAGGAGGTTTAAATATACTTATAAAAGGTGTGGTTTCCATGTTTCAAAGGCAAAACCACCCATTATACCATTTACCTATTTGGTTTTTTTCTTGTTTTAGTTCAGTTCTTATACCTCAGACCATTGATGTAGTTTGCCTGATCTGGTACCATGTATCGTGCACTGTAATTCTACTTACTCACATTTTCCTTAACTTCATTTGCCAGATCAAAGATGAGGGAAAGAATTCTAACTCACATTTATGAATTTCTGTTCTTTTAATCTAGGTAACCTAGTTTTTGTTTGTGGCTAGTATCATGGTCTTTTAAGCCAGAATAATTATGAAAGTAAAGGTAATTTTTAATACTATAATTCCTGCCCTTGGGGGAGAAAATCAAAGTTGACATTTTTAATAAATACCCAAAAAAACCAAACCCATTCCCCTCGAGTCAATTCCAACTCATAGCAACCCTATAGGACAGAGTAGAGCTGCCCATAGGGTTTCCAAGGAGCAGCCGGTAGATCCGAACTGCGAACCTTTTGGTTAGCATCCTGAGCTCTTAACCACTGCACCACCAGGGCTCCTTTTTAATGAATATGTACGTATATATCCATTGATGCAAATATTGTTAATTATATTGTTAGGAACACTGTGACAACCTCTGTGATGATGGGACTCATCCAAGCTTAATCTCAAATCTTGGAAACTGTTGCAAAGAACAAAAAGCAGGTAAGAAATTCATGTTAATTTTTAAGCCTGAGGATATCATTTTCTCGTTTTTTTTTTTAAAAAAACATATATAAATGGAATTAGCTGCTAATGCCTTGGTGCTTCTGAATTACCTGGGAATGAGGAACATTCGAGAAGGATAGAATCTTTGGAGAATCTCATTTAATCTTCTGACAGTAGTAGTTCTGCCAGTAATAACAGAATTGGTCTATCCATTTCGCCTTAGTAGTGAAACTTGTAAAGGAAATTTATATTTCAATTTTGTAAACTTTTCAAATACTCATGCAAAATTTAGTTTAAAGTCTATTAAAAAATAAAACAGTTGCCACTGAGTAGATTCTAACTAATGGCAATTTCATGTTGTCCATAGGGCCTTCAATGGCTGACTTTTCAGAAGTAGTAGATTACCAGACCTTTCTTCCAAGGTACCTCTGGGTGGACTCAAACCTCCAACCTTTCAGGTTGCAGCTGAGCGCCTGTTTGTGACACAGGGACAATCTATTAAAATCTGTTACCGTACTTTAATTAGAAATATTGCTTATCTTTTCTATTTTTAATTTTCTTTATAAGTATGCATTTTTTATTTTACAAATAGTAGCAGAATATAACCTTATTGTAAGATTCTAGTATATGTCTTTTATTTAGCTTATCTATTTTTTAATGTATTCTCATTTATTATCTATAGAAGATCAAGAAAATCGTAAAGTACCAGCCTTTCTAAATGTGAGGAAGAGGAAGAGAGTTACTTTTGGAGAGGACCTAAGTCCTGAAGTGTTTGATGAATCCTTGCCAGCAAATACTCCATTACGAAAAGGAGAAACACCTGTTCGTAAAAAGGATTTAAGTAGTACCAGCCCTCTGCGACATGAGCACTCGCCAGTTCCTGAGCAGCTATCTCAACCGAATTTTGATGACAAGGGGGAGAATCTTGTAAGTGTGAAAAATGTGGAAAAAACTTATTTATATTTTTATCAGGCCTTGCCTGTTTTGCACGAGCAATAATTATGCTTTGAAATCTTGAAATGGTGTTTCATGGTATAAATTAATGTATTTCTCTATGTGGGTTTTTTTTTTTTTACCCCTCTTTGCAAACAGTAGTGCCATGAATCTTTGTACATAGCATATTTCATGGAACCCAAATGCTATTGATTTTAAGATGTGCCACTGTTTTATGTATCACTAAGAAAAATGCTAAAAATTAAGCTATGACACACCATGAATTGTAAGACGTACTCAGATTTCAGAGATGTTAAATTGTGAAAGAACAGTCATCTTAGAAATGAAAAATATAAATACAAACTCCAGGTTTTTTTCCCCCTAAGATAAATTTTTACAATTGGAATTCATAGATTAAAGAATATGAACATTTTCATACTTTTTGATACATATTGCTGAATTACCATCCAGAAAGTATGTACTGATTTGGACCCACAGCAATATAAGTTATTTTACCATACCTTTGTAAACCATGGGTATTAACAGGAAAATATTTTAATAGATTAATATGAGAAAAGAATGATTGGAAAAATCTCAGTTTATTAGTGAGATTTGAACATTTTATAACATGCTTATAAGCCGTTTGAATTTCTCTTGAGAATTGCCTATAAATATTCCTTTTGGGATATTCATTCTCTCTCTCTCTGGTGTACTTTGAAATAAAATCTTTCAATTTCAGATACGATGTAGTAATAGGAACCTAATTAACACTCCCACTTGAAATAACTTAAACACCAGAGAAAATATATGAGATAGCGGTTCTCAAGACATTGAACATCAGAAAGCACAAGGCAGTAATCCCTGAGAGAGGGGTAACAAATGAGGTGAACCTTACAAACCCCCGACTTAATGTCTGGAGTATTTCCAGGCTGCGGTACGAGGAGGGGAGCCCAGGAAGAGCCCATAATCTCCCTGAGTTGAAGAGATAGAGTTGGTAGTCTAGGAAAGCCATGGAGGCCAGAGCTCACAGGACAGAGGTCCAAAGAGGAGGGCGCTGCATAGAGAGAGCTCTGGAGATCCCACTAGAGGCTTCAGCTGAGTACTGATCAGTGCATGTAATGAATAAACTACCCAAGGCCTAGGAAAGAACTGTCTTAATGGATGAGAGGGAACAATCCCTAGAGCTACCAGCTAGAGTAGGAAAACCTTGCAATTCACAGTACTCAGAAGAGTATTGCTTTACTAAACCAGAAAACCAAACCTGTTGCCGTCAAGTTGATTCCAACTCATAGTGACCCTATAAAACCAAAAAATCAAACCCATTGCCGTCGAGTCAATTCCGACTCATAGTGACCCTATAAGAGAGTGTAGAATTGCCCTATAGGGTTTCCAAGGAGCAGCTGGTGGATTCGAACTGCTGACCTTTTGGTTAGCAGCCGAGCTTTTGACGACTATGCCACCAGGGCTGCCCCACAGGGACTCCAAGGCTGTAATCTTTACAGACACAGATTGCCACATCTTTCTCCTGAGCAGTGGCTGGTAGTTTGAACTGCTGACTTTCAGTTAGCAGCTGAGCGTTTTAATCACTGCCTCGCCAAGATTTCTAATGCCTCACTAGCCAAAAAAATAAAAACCAAACCCATTACCATCAAGTCGATTCTGACTCATAGCAACCCTATAACACAGAACTGCCCCATAAGGTTTCCAAGGAGTATCTGGTGGATTCTAACTGCCGACTTGTTGGTTAGCAGCTGATCTCTTAACCACTGTGCCACCAGGTTAGACCAAAAGCTGCTCTGGTCCTGCCTGACAGGGCTTAAAAGGAGTCCTTGAAAGGATCAAACTATATCCAGATAACTAACTGCATTGCAAGAGCAAGACTCAAAAATATAAGAATACAAAATGATCCAGAATCAAAGTAAAATTCAAAATGTCTGACTGCCATTCAATGAAAAATTAACCAGTTGTGCAAAGAAGGAAAATACATCCCATAATGAGGAGAAAAATTAATCAATAGAGAAAGACCTAGAAATGACACATATGATAGAATTTGCAAATAAAGACATTAAAAAGCTATTATCACTATATTCCATATGTTCAAGAAGGTAGAGGAAGTGTTGAGCTTGTTAATAACATCGAAGATAAAGACCCGAATTGAACTCTATACATGAAAATTACAATCTCTGAAAAGAAAAATAGATTGAATAGGATTAACAGTGGATTAGAAACTGTAAAAGAAAAGATTAGTGAAGATATAACAATAGAAATTCTGAATGAAACACAAAGAAAATAAAATTGAATAAAAATGAGCAGAGTATCCATGAGCTGGGACTTCAGGTGACATAATATGTGTATAATTAGAGTTCCCAAAGGTGAGGAGAAAGAAGGAAGAACAATATACATATATAAACCCATTGCCATCGAGTTGATTCTGACTCATAGTGACCCTATAGGACAGAGTAGAACTGCCCCACAGGGTTTCTGAGGAGCATCTCGTGGATTTGAACTGCTGACCTTTTGGTTAGCAGCTGAACTCTTAACTACTATGCCGCCAGGGGTCTCGTGTGTTTGTGTGTGTGTGTGTGTGTGTGTGTGTGTGTGGCTGAAATTTTTCCAAATTTGATGAAAATTATAAACCTACAGATTTAGACTTCAACAAACTCCAGGCACAGGAAACATGAAGTAAACTACACCAAGACACATCATAATCAAATTTAAAATCAATCATAAAGAGATAATCTTAAAAGCAGCCAAAGAAAAAAGACACAGATGTACAGAAGAACAAATATAAAAATGACAGCATACTTTACATCAAAAACAAGTTAGATGACAGTGCAGCAAGATATTTAAAGTACTGAAAGGAAAAAAATTATTGTCAACCTACAGTTCTAAACGAAGTGAAACTATCTTTAAAAACAAAGGTAAAATAAAGACTTTTTAAGACAAAAACTGAACAAATTCATCACCACTGCATATTTGCACTACAAGAAATGCTAAAGGAAGGAAAAGCATTCCACGTGGAAATGTATATCTATATAAAGGAATGAAGAGCTTTGAAAATGCTAAATATGTGGGTAAATATAACAGACCATTTTTTTTCTTTTTTTAATATTAAAAGATCATTATTAAAAGCAAAAGTAACAACTATGGATTTATAACATGTGGAAGTAAAATATATTGGCATAAAGACTGGGAGGGTGAGGTGAAATTATACTATGGCATGATTCTTGTATTAGACACAATGTGGTGTAAGTCAAAGATATGTATTACAAACCATAAAGCAACCGCTATAAAGCAACAACAACCATGTGTGGGATACAGCTAAAGCAGTGCTTAGAGGCAATTTTAAGAAAATAAATGCTTTATTAAAAAGGAAGAAAGGTCTCAAATCAGTGATCTCAGTTTCCACTTGAAACTAGAAAAAGAAAATCAAATTAAAGCCAAAGTAAGCAGAAGAAAGTAAATAATAAAGATAAATGTAGAAATCAATGAAATAGATAATAGAAAAATGAGAGAAAAATCATCGAAATCAAAAGTTTGTGCTTTGGGGAAAATAAATTAATAAACCTCTAATCAGACTGGTCGGGAAAAAAGAAGACTCAAATTACCAATATCAGGAATGAGAGAGATGATGTAACTGCAATGTTCTAACAGGTATAAAAGGATAATAAGGGAATATTATGAACAACTTTATGTCAGTAAATTCAACATCTTAGGAGCCCTGGTAGCACAGTGGTTAAGAGCTCAGCTGCTAACCAAAAGGTCGGCATTTTAAATCTTCCAGCTGCTCCTTAGAAATCCTGCAGGGCAGTTCTACTCCGTCCTAAAGCATTGCTATGAGTCGGAATTGGTAGTCGGCAATGGGTGGATAAACTGGACACATTCTTTCAGACACAAGCTACCAAAACTCACTCAGGAAGACCTGAATTCAAGATAACCTGGACTGCCCTGTAACAACTAAAGAAATACAATTAAAAACCTTCCCACGATGAAAACTCAATATCCAGATAATTTTACTGATGGATTCTAACAAATATTCAAAGAAGATGTAATGCTAATTCTGCACAAACCCTTCCAAAAGATTGCAGAGATAGGAATAATTCCCAACTCATTTTTGATGTCAGCATTAACCTGATACCAATATCAAACAAAAGCATTACAAGAAAAGAAAACCTGCAGTCCAATGTCTTCATGAACATAGATGTGAAAATTCTTAGCAAAATTTAATATATAAGAAGATAATATATCATGACCAAATGGAATTTATCCCAGGCAGGGATGCAAGGTTGGTTTAACATTTGAAAACCAATCAGTGTGATCCACCATGTTAACAGATTAATGAAGAAAAACTATGTGATCATCTCAGTAGATGTAGACACAGTCCAACATCCATTTCTGATAAAAAGTCTCAGCAAACTGGTGATACAAAGCAGTTTCCTCAACCTGAAAAATTGAATCTATGAAAAATCAATTTAATTTGTTTCAGAGTAGAACTGTGCTCCTTAGGCTTTCATGGCTGTGACCTCTCAGAAGCACATTGCCAGACCTTTCTTCCTAGGCACCTCTGGGTGGGTTTGAGCTGCAACTTTTCAGTTAGTAGCCAAGCGCTCACCATTTTTGCTGCCCAGGGACAATAGCCACCATCATACTGGCATTTATGTGGGAGAGAAGAAGATTTGGTATTTTTGCTTACATTGCTATTTTACCCTGAAGTTCTCTGGAATAATACTGCAATGTTCAAGTGTGCCGATTAATGGATTTTCTTACTTGCTTTATAGAATTCAGGACTTGGAATTTTAAATCAAAAAG